TGCGCATCGCACTCATTGTTGGTGCATATGCCCGTCCCCTCCTCCCCTGCCCTGCCCAACATCCAATACTTGTTAAAGAATACTCATTTCTTAAGAGAGTAAATTTATTTAGTTACTAAAATAGTTGGCAATAGTCACTGAGATTTATTGAACCTATCACTAATTTATAGCATTGTAGTTTCTTAGATCTTAACTTTTGGGTAGTTACAGACTTCTCTGAGAATGTGAACAATGCTACAGATCCCTCTTGCTAGAAACATACACTTTTACAGACATAAAATTTTGTATATAATTTCAAAGTATACACAGAGTACCCACTTCAAGAGCTGACATGTGAGCCCCAGAGTTAATAACTACATTAGAACAAATTTCATAACTATTTCTGAACCAGCTTTGGTTCTTGCATTTGTTTGCATACTAGATAGTAGCACGTTTTTCTCAGACATAGTGAAGAAATATCTTTTGGTAGCTTCATTCTTTTTTCTTTTTTTCTTTTTTTTAATTTTTCTTTTTCTTTTCCTCCTCCACTCTGAAGGAAGGTAGCTTCATTCTTGATACAATTTTTATTACTCACTGTGACAATGTCATGAATGTGCATTGTTGTGACTCCTCAGAATTCTCTTGGCTCTTCCTGAGAGTGCAGTGGTCATCACTGAATGACTTGTAAGGCTCATATCTCTTATTTGGGTCTAACATAGATGAAATAGTCCACATGTTTAATTGCTTTTTTTCAGAAATATGTCACAAGGGGATGGTATAGGGAAATATCAGAAGCAAAATAGTGATTTACCTTTGTGCACTAAGTCATACCTCTAATGATTTCTCCCAACTGTTGGATATTTACAGGATATCCTTTTTGGAGTCTTTTGGATGTTTTTAGCAGTCCTGTCATTCAGCCTTCTGTTTATTGCATATGCCTGGTTTCTCCAGCATGTGGACAAGATCCATTCAATTTTGCCTCTCCCTTCTAAAACAATAAAACCCTGACACCCTTTTCTTTCTCATACTTTCTGCTAGTTCCAAATAAGGGATTGAAAGTGGTATTTAGTTTCTTAATAGTGAATCTCCATTTTAAGTCATTAAAGTGGAGAATAGCAACCAAGTGGGAAGTAGCAACTAGTCATGCTTTCTTTGCTAGAATTTCCTAATAGCTCTTTAGAAAGAAGTAATATCTACTTACCTCTATTCTACATGGCTCAGTAGCCAGCCAGTCATGATCGGCCAATAAGTTTCTATTAGTCTTCTAGAGACAGGGTCTCACTCTGTTGCCCAGGCTTGAGTGCAGTGGGGTGATCATAACTCACTGCAGCCTCGAACTCCTGGGCTCAATTGATCCTCCCACCTCACCTTCCCAAGTAAGCTGGGACTACCAGTGTATGCTGTCATGCCTCAATGATTTTTAAATTTTTTTTAGAGATGGGGTCTTGTTATGTTGCCCAGGCTGGTCTTGAACTGTCCTCAAGCAATCCTCCCACCTTGGCCTCCCAAAGCTCTGGGATCACAGACGGGAGCTACCATGCCCAGTCAAGATTATTTTTTAAAGACAGATGATACAACTCATTATATGTTAGAATCTAGTTTGACATTCTAATATCTCATAGTAGTCTGTGAGAATGTTACACCATTTACCTGAATTTCGGGATAGTTAGTAAAATTAGTACATAATAGATTTCATTTTGATGGACAGTGAATTGAAAATAAATGAGCAAAATGACAGTTTTCTCTTAATTATTTCACCTCTTTATTGATGTTTACAGGAAAAAAGTCATCATAAGAGAAGATCTATTAAGTGCAAAATTTTATGACTTAAAGATGATAAATAGTAAGTGACTTTTTGCTTGTGTGTTCTACCTTTTTTGTTTTTTAATTTAATGATGTGCCAGAGTTCTCATTAGTAATATTTTTGTTTGGAAAATAGTCGCCTTTGGAGCTCTGTATATTGTGTGGTAAGTACTACATAAATTTTGTTTTCATGAAATCATTTATAATGTTCCCTGCCCTTTACTTCTTTTTGCTCAGCTTGGAGAGAGGGGAGAGTGAGTGAGTGAGTGAGTGACTGTGTGTGTGTGTGTGTGTTGGGAGAAAAGAGTGTTTCACACACAGTTGGTGTTTAGCAACCTACATTGCAGTCTTACTTCATTCATTAGTGTGGAAGTCCTTAGGGGAGATGAGATAAAATACCTTGTGGGCCAATAACTGTAAGCAGCAGGAGAGAAGTCTGTGACAGCAAGAAACTAGTTCACAATTCCCACAGGCAGTTGTGATTTGGCCTCTGTCCACACTTCTAATTTGAAACTTTGGGAATAAAGCACCTGCAACATACTTATCTACATGAGCAGTTAAATACTCCTCTCTTTTATTCTTGTCTGGTACATGATTTTCTTAATACAGGAAGATTTTCAGCAGGGCTTGAATAAAATGACACCATCCGCACGTAGTGCTTTCTAACTCCTTCTC